TCACTCAGCATTCTCTCAGTTCTGACCTGCTCCTGGTTCCCAACAAAAACCACGCCGGACCATGCGGTCCAGGAGCCTGGTGGCAGGCTCAGGCCTGGCGTCTCTTGGTTTCTAAGGAGCGTAATGTCACCGCTCACTCAAAGGCGGCCCCTCTGGGACGGATGAGCAATCTTCTGCAATGCCATCTACAGCCTTGGAAAACTGGCCAGAGCATCAGCTCCAGACCATGCCGGTGCGGCTACGATGAAAGAGTGAGTGGCCGTCCTAGTTGAAGAAGTTTTCGGCTACTAACTGAAAGGTCACCAGTTTGAACCCACCTCTGCAAGGAACGAAGAAGGGCAGTCGGCTTCCACGATCTGCAGCCTTGTAAACTCTGTGGGCACTTCCAGTCTACCTGGTCCACGCACGGCGTGGCTGTGATTCAAAGTGGACTGGTCGGCAGTACCTTTGGGGTTTGAAGAATGGAGTCAGCCACACTGGTACTTCATCACTGCCAATCACTCGGCCAGATGACCCTCCGTAGCTCTGGACAGCTTGCAGGTGGTGCCGCAGGAGCAAAGACACCCACTCGGGGGCAGTCACACTTTTGGGGTGTGTGGCTCAAAGGCTGGCATCCTATTCAGGCTGCGGTGATGTCTAGCCGAGCAGAGAAGAGCAAGTCTATTAAAACGAGCCCCTAATGTGACCACTGAATTAAAGCACATTAAAACTTGACTAGCTGAAGGAGTCTCAGAGTTCAAACCTATCAGCAAAAGGAAGATAGACTGACTCCTCCATAAAGATTTCCAGCCTCGGAGACCTGACGGAGGGTCTCCAGGAGTCACAGTCAGTATGGTGACTGTTGGTTTGGTCTTTCTGTTTGTGTTTTAGCCCAAGGCTCTGGTGCACAGCGGTTAGCGCTCTGCTGCTAACACAACAGCCAGCCGTTCAAACCCATCCAAGTGCTCTGTAGGAGGACCTGGTGTCCTGCTCCTTCTGCAGAAGGACTGGGCACTTCTGTTCACCTCTGCAGGCCGCTGAGGGGCAGGGCCGGCCTGACCACAACAGCGGTCAAAGGCAGGAGCGTTTGGCCTCTTTCCTCCAGCCCCGAGCGCCACAGCAGAGCAGTGCTGAAGGGTTTCCGACCACTGGCTTTGTTCTTTTTTTTCCCTGGAGTAGACCACCAGGCCTTTTTCTCGGTGGATTTGAACCTCCAAACTCAGCAGCCGAGCTCCAGAGCAACGTACCTGATCCAGGGTCTGTGACGTAGGTATAGAACACAGGAACCTTTCTGAGATGCTTTGAAAATATGACACCACAGGCAAGAAGAGAGCAGTTACAGTGGCATTGTCACCACTGTCACAACACAAGACATCACGAAGGCTGAGTGGAAAGCCAACTTGCTCTGTGAATTCTCACTCAAGCCACAACGTGAATATGAAATAAATGAAGAGAAAGCAAGACGCCCCAGGAGGGTCACACAGCCCGAGTCGTCTTTTCGTGGGTTGTCAGGTGCCATTGCATCTCCCAGCAACCCGCCCCCAGCAGGATGAAGGCTGCCGGGTGCTGTGCCCATCGCTGCGGCTGTGGGACTGTCATCTCAATGGCTTGTCCTCATGGAGTGATGTCAGAGGGAGGAGCAGTGACAAAGGTTCTCTCGTGGTTGACTCCTGGCTCCACAGCGAGCTGACCTTGTGAACCAGGCCTGGTAGCTTCCGCTTTCTGGGGCTCGGCCTCCCCATCTGTAAAGTAGGGACATGTTCAAGCTTGTGACGTGGAGGAAATGAAATGCTAAGTGGGACAGACAGCCCACCAAACGCAGCAAGCCTCATCTTTGTTCCTGTGTGGGCTTGGCCGTGAACTTGAAGTCCAGCCACAATGGATCGGCCAGTGGCCGTTCCCAGGAATGCCAGGCTTCAGACACCATGCAGCCTAGTTGGAGAGCATGCACACGGATTCCTACTCACAGCAGGTGCTGAAAAGCTGTGGAGACAGAGCTGTGCTCTCCGTCCAGAAAATGCCAGAGCTTTTAAGAAAAAAACCCAGGGATCCCTGGGACTTTGCAGCCATCCATTGCTGGGACCCTTGGTCTGTGGCAACGGGAGGCCCAGGACCTCCAATGCCCAGCCCCCTGCCCTCGCCTAAGCCTGACCACATGACTGCCCTGCATTATTCCACAGGTCTGCCTTGGCAGGCCACCAATGCCACCTGCTGTGCTGGCAGCCCTGGGAACAGCAGCAGACGTGGCCCCCAAGGCGACTCGTCACAGCTCTGCCAGGGAGTGAAAGCTAATGAGAGTAGGGGCCCATGCGAAGAATAGTGGCCCCTTCCAATGGCAGGATGAAAGCCAGGCAGGGCTGCAGACAAGAAGCTGGGACAGAGGCTCCATTCAGCCCAGCCGAAGGACAGTGCCAGCCTCTGCTGCCATGGCCTGGGCTCTCCTCAGAGTGAACCTGCGCTCGCCCTGAGCCTCCAGGCTGAACCAGCCGTGTGCTGTGTGGGTCTTACAGGGACATACTCATAGGAACAGGAGTCAGGATGTGATGGTAGACAGGGGACAGATGGGATAGGGAGGGGCTCTCGGGTGGGTCTGCTCACCTGAGACAGCACCTGTCACCTTGAGGACAGCAGGTACAGTCCAGAAAGTGGGTCTTCACAACCAGAAGGATACAAGACCTCCAGAGGCCTCACTTCCCTCTCCAGTTTCTTGGAAGATGAAGGTAGACCTGCGATGCAGCCTGAAAGGCTATGCTTTGGTGGGTCCAAGCAGCTCAGCGATCACTTCAGTTATCAATCACCAATGATAAATCGCCAAACGTACTGCCACAGGTCAACTCTGACCACAGGGACCATATAGGACAGGGCTGCGGCCTCTACATTGGGGTCTTGACTCAGCATTTGAATATACTACGAACTGCCAGAAAAACAGACTAATCTGACTAAAGGGAGTACAGTCAGAGGCGAGGATGGTGAGACCTTGTCCCATATCTGGGGCATGTTGTCAGAAGGAAGCCGTCTCTGGAGAGGGACGTAATGCTTAGAGAAGCAGAGTGTCAGTGAAAGAGAAGAGGCTCTTGGCAAGTTGGTTGACAGTGCAGCAATGGGCATCAGCACAGCAGAGCTTGTGAAGATGGCACAGGAGTGGGCAGTGTTTGGTTCTGTTGTCTGTGGAGCCGGTGTGAGGACCTTGGACAGCATCCAGCAACAGCAATCGTACAGAAACAGACTGCTGTATCTTCTCCCTGGGAAGCAGCTGGTGACTTAGAACCTGGAGACATTGGGGTACTAGCTGAGTGCTTTAACTACTAAGTTGCTCAATGTCATTGCCATCGAATCAAAACTCCTCACAATTGACCCTCCAGGGGGTCTGCAGAGGCTGAGACCTGTAGGAGGAGACTGCCCATCTTCTCCCCAGGACCTAATGGACTCGGACTACCAGAGGGCACGGACTGCAGGTTACCACACAATCCTCTACACTAACCCTGTCACCGGAGCTCCCCATGACATGCAGGAGCTCCACAATTAATCATCACCACCAAAAAAGTAGGGACACCTTTTTATCAGTGAAAGACATTTTTAGATGGATTATTGAGAAAATCATGAGCTCTTACACCCCGGCTAGTCTGTGGGGAACTTTGCTGCTCCCTGGAAGAGAGGTGGACACTCTCCTCCCAGGGGACTGCTTGTTGCTAAGTACCCTGGAGTCCAACTGACCTACAGCTGAACCTCCAGCAGGTTTTCAGACACAGTTAATTGGCTGTCCTTCTTCTGCAGGACAGCTGGTGGATTCGAACTGCATGCCTGCAGGGGTGCATGCAGCACGGCTTCTTCCCACCAGGCCATCAGAATTTCACAGCCTCAGAAACCACTGGACGGACTATCAGCTGAGTCTGTTCCAAGTCCAGGCACCGGGCTGTTGTGTTTGCTTGTTTTGACCCCCCACCCCCACCCTGTGTAATAGGGAAGCAGGGGAGGGAACGGAACGGTGCTCCGCCATTCCCAGTGCTCGCTCATCAGATCCAATTCCTGAAGAAGGCTTGTTCTAGCTTGTAAGTTGCGCTCACTCTTGGATTGAGTGTTTCCTTTGCATCTTCCAGAGAAGAGTTAACTATTTCCTTTAGAGCTTTGAGTCCAGGCTCCTAGCGCACCACGCCAAGCCCACCCTCACACACTGGCCCCAAGTGTTTCCTGGAGGTCACCTTTCAAACCCAGTGCCTGGATGGTCACTACACCTGGAACTGACTGGCGGCTTCCATCTGTGTGACCTCAGGTGTGGCCGCCTTTACCCAAGATGACCACACGTGCAGACTGAGACAGGGTGGATGTGGAATCAGCTAAAGTTATGTCTGGTGGCCACTGAGGCCAGTCCCTGCATCCAGGTGTCCTTCTCCCTAATCGCCCTCCCCACCTGGACCCTCCAGCGGAGGCTCCTCGCAGTCCTGGGTCGGGACCCGCAGGAGGGCACGCGGGCTGTGCAGTCTGTGGTCCCCAACCCGCGCCCGAGCCCCTTCCTCCGGAGCTGCGCTTTGGTCTCGTCACTCAGCAGGGTCTCTGTGGCCTGGAGGCTAGATGGAGAGGGAACTGCAGCCTGGGCTGGCGTCACGCAGCAGAGGGACCAAGGGCCACAAAGGTCGGGGCGTGGCACCCCGCTGCGGCTCATGAGCGCCCCGCCCCGCCCCAGTTTGGGGCGCTAATCCAGGACCTCTCTAAAGGGCGCGCGAACAGGAACAGCCCAGAGCCCGACACCCACAAACTTTAGTCAGAGGACCAGCCCCGCAGTGCGAGCCAAGGAAACTGTCTCAGGACAAAAGATCAGGAAATGGGGAGAGTCCCCCCACCCCGAGACCATAGGGACACCCTGCCGGGTCCCCGCTCTAGAGAATGTGTCGCCCAGGCCGAAATCTAGCGCGGTCCGGCACACCCGGGGCACCCCAGTCCCTGAGGCTGCGGCACTGGCTGGTGGGCGCGAGGCCCGGGTGGGGTGCGCGCGCCGGTGCTCCGGGGTGACCGCGGGAACCTACCAGCGCGTCCAGGATGCGCCGGCTCCTCTGGTCGCTGCAGCGCTCGGGGAGGCCGTGCGGGCGCGCGCGGAGCAGCAGCGTGGCCGCCAGC